CTTCTACTATTTACACACCCAATCGAGTTGAGGTGGCTTTGGCAGTGGTGAATTGGGAGAGGTAAAGTGTCGGCGGTGGAAAGGAAGAGCTGCCGCCTTTATGAATGCCTTCTCCAAAAAAAAAAGTCGAGGTGTCCAGATTGCACAAAAGGCCAGATTTCACGTTGCGAGGCGCCACACGTGACAGGGGTCTCTTCCTTTTGGGGTATGGGTGTCACTGGTGGATCCTTACTGTGTGGACCCTTGGTGCAGCCGTACTCTATTTGGTGCCTTTGCCTAAGGCAAGGTATGGAAGGCACCACCTGCACGCAGCAGGTGAGCAGCAAGGTACCTCGATGCGCTGCTGCTCGGCAGATAGAGACACCCAAGGTTGGGATGGCAGGCAGGAATTAGGTGCTCGGGGGACACATCTCCGTTGCAGCAGAACAGTGAGAATGTACCGTGCGAGGTTTCTCCCCTAGCCACGGGAGTCAAGGTGTGCGCGCCTCACCGCTGCCGCTGCCTGCCGTCCGCGCTGGGGTCATTCCCTCCTGCCCCACCAAGGCTGCGATTCTGGAGATTTCGATTACTGGTGGTCCCCCCCTGGACGTTTGGCACTTGGGGGAGACTTGAACGTGGCCTTTCTGTTCGCTTTGCTTCCACAGCTTCGGTTGAGTTCTATGCCGCAGTCTGACAAACTTCAAAGGCACCTTGTGTGTTTGTTCATCTCCATTGGAAGTGACTCACGATCCAGCAAAAATTACCTTACTTGCCCCCATGGTGAGAGGCAATGAACTTGGCCACTTCCTTTACAATCCTACTTAGGTGGCATCTCATTGATTCTTGGTAGCCTTGCAGTGTCCTCTGCCTACCTATCTAGTGGTCTACCTGTCCCATTCAACTTGCAAAGCAGCTCCCGGAAGGAACAGAGTGGCCTCAAACCAACCGGTCCAACCCCCCAATCCATCTCGATCTCGGGGAGAGCCATGCGCACCTCTCCCCTTTCGAGAATATTCCCACCACTGGCCTACCTACAGCCTGCGAGGGGGAGGGGAAAAAAGGAGGAGCGCGGCAATACGGTAAGCGGAAGGTGCTAATTCGTAGGTAAGGCGAGAGCGACAAGGTAAGGTACGCGACACTTGACCTCACTTAAGGTGCTCTAAGCAGTGCCATCCCGTCTTTCGCCCTGAGATGAGGGGGGCCACGGGGGGCTGCAAGCCGTAAAGAGGGGGGAAGTATGCAGGGGTTGAGCTTTGGCTGCTGGCCCATGCTCTCCCGAGGCGGCGCGTGGGCACGACGGCGTCATTTCCGTCGCTTCAGCCGGATGGGGCCATGTTAATCTGTCAATTTGGCCTTTTCGAGAGGCAAGATAGGTACGGATACCATAGAACACAATGACAGATTCCACTGTCCAAGACCACCAAAACAGTCCAAAGAGTCACCCACGGAGTCATTCAACCCCTAAGAAGGAAGGAGAATTGCAAAGTGCGTTGTCGGCTTGGTTCGCAAAATAGCTCAACCATAATCAAGGATCCGTGATGGTGCTTGGAAACTGTTCATTTCGCATCTACGGATATCTAAGTTATGAATTAGGCACGCCCCCATTGGCTGCGCTTCAACTAAAGTTGCAGCCAACTCTATTTTCAGCACACCCAACTGACCCCAACTTTAATCGAGCCTCAATGCCAGCGCCGCCTGTCCTAACTTAACTCGCACGCCATGCATGGGAATATCTCGTTCCGGTCGTCAAGTGCCCACCACCTGCTATATACGAATCCGCGCCACGTTGCTTCTTTCGATTCTACACCGTTTTATTCCAGCAACCCTGCCGCGATTGTCTCGCCACCACTGCGTAGCACCACTCGCTGCCCAGCCTCCAACGGCACTTTCGAGTCAAGCTTGACAACAACCCGCGCAACCTTGCCTGGCTGCACGATCCTGGGGTTCTTCTTCACCGTCGCTCCCGTCAACTTGTCCAGTACGGCTGGGATGACCTCAACTCTCCCAGCCGCATGCAGACGACCACGGTGGACGTCCACCGGCATTGGCATCAAGTGGTCGAAGGCCAGTACCTTCATAGTCAGCCTGTCGCTTGTCTCAATGGGAGCTGCCTTGGTGCTGATGATATCGCCCACGCGTACGTGAATCGGGTCGATGCCGTACAGGCCGATGTTTACGTTCTGTCCCGCAACGGCCCATTCTTGTACATCGGCGTCTACCTCGATCGATCGTATTGAGGCAGACTCTCCACTTGGCTGCACAATCAATGCCTCGCCATTTTGTACCGTGCCCGATTCTATCCGGCCAGCTACAGTGAGTTGACTTTGCTGCGATCTGTATATTTCCGAAATCGACATTCGGAAAGGCTTCTCAATCGCTCTCGCCATTGGATCAGAGTCTTCCAACGCCTCAATGAGTGTCGGGCCTGTGTACCATGACAGACCCTCATCGGCTGGCTTCTCCACCAAATTGGCGCCGCTGAGTCCCGATATGGGTACGAAGGTGACGTTCTTGAGTATGAAGCCATTGCCTTTCATGAAGCCAGTGACCTGCTCTGAGATTTCATCAAAGCGATCCTTTGACCATCCAACCATGTCCAGCTTATTCACAGCGACGATGACTCGCTGGACACCCAGACTTCTCAGGAGCAGAGCATGCTCTCTTGTCTGGCCCTTCAAGCCCTTCTCGAAAGCTCCCGTGTTGGCGTCAATGACGAGAATAGCAAAGTCTGCCTGGCTTGCTCCAGCAATCATGTTTGGGACAAAGTCCCGATGACCAGGGGCGTCGAGAATCGTAAACCGTGTCTTTTCCGTCTCAAACATATTCGTGGCGATGTCGATGGTAACACCACGCTCCCGCTCCTCCTCTCGCTGATCCATGACCCAGGCGAGAGCGAATGACGACTTTCCAATCTTCTCACCCTGGCGTCGATAACGATCGATCAGATGTTGCTCAATGTACTTTAGTTCCAAGAGCAATCTGCCCATCAATGTGCTCTTGCCAGCATCAACGTGTCCTATTGGGTATTAGTTGTATGTTGGGGAGGAGAAAGGTACAGATTGACTTACCAACTACCACAAAGCTGGCGCTTCTCTTGTTTTCACTCTTTGCGAACTCCTTTACGACATCCAGCTTTTTGTTCTTCGGTGCTGCTGAGTCGTCGAGTTGAAGTTGCTTCATGTCGGAATTGGGGGTTTGTGAGCCACTTGACTTGGCCACCACTTTTTTGCTTGCGCTCTTAGCGGCAGCGTCGAACTTGGAGCCCGCTAGAGATCATTAGAGTCAGCATCTTACTGTGTCTTCGCGAATCGCGAACCTTTCGCCTGAGCAGCGAGCACGACATCGTCAGGGCTTGGTTGAGAGAAAGCACTGGGCACATAGGCGGAAGAGTCCATGTACGGCAGGGAGTACGTCTGAGAGGCGGCGGCAGTATCTTGAGCAGGTCCGAACAGGGTCTGAGCAAAGGCAGACGGCCTCGTAGATGGGACTACAAAACAGTCATCCTCAGTCTTCTTTCGATCCTCGGCAGAGAGTTCATTGGCCGTGTCGACATCCATACTGACTGCTTCAGACGCTGCGTCGGCCTGCTGCGAGGGCGTAGCTGATTTTGAGATTTGAGTCCTCACGGCGGGGTCTTCTGCCAGCTTTTGTCGCTTCGCTAGTATGCTCAACCCGCCTCTCTGGTTCTCCTTGGACGATTCATCAATGGCAAGAGTTGACATTCTCTTCTCGGCTCGATCAACCTTGTCGTCTGTCTTGTTCACCTCGGTCGTCTTCTTCTTTCGTGCTGCAGCAAGGGCCTGAAGCTTTGATAGCTTAGGACCATCACCGCCGCCCAGAAGCCCCCCAGGAACGGGACGAGGGGGGACAAAGACGGCCTGTCGGCTCTTGGGAACGTTCATCCATGAAATGCCGTGGAAGTAAGAAGCAGGGGATAGTGGTGCCACCCTGGGAACTGGATATGTCGAAGTTGATACCATGCCGTAAGTCGTAGTCTTGTCGTCCATGCCTCCGCAACCAAACCCATCTGCTGCCGAAACGCTCAACTTCTGGTACTGCCGCCACCTCTCCGGGAACCCTGCCCTCACATGACTTTTTTAAAAGAAAATGAACTTACCATCTTTAGCCTTCTTCTCCTGCTTGAGCGCAGGTGGAGGTGCGATGAATTTCTTCTGTAGATAAGACACCGTCTTCTCGATGTCGTAATAGTAGTGCCACAGCGACTCTTGAATTTGCTGCACAGTCACTTTGTCGGCATCAGGACCAAGGGTGCTCTGTACTGTCGCAGTTCCTATTGCCATGGCCTCACGATCCTCTGCGCTGAGTTGATCAGCCTCTCCCTCCTCTTCGTAGTCATCGCCCTCGAATTCGTCGAGGGCCTCCTCATAGTCGAGGTTGCGTACTGCCTGGTGGCGCGACATCTTGACGTAGTTGGGGTAGGTGAGCTTGGTGTTCTTTGTGGATGGATTGGGGAGAGGGGATGTCGCAGAGACCCAAGCTTTCAAGGTAAGAAAATGAAAGTGATCTGGGTGGTATGTGATATCCAGTGATTTATTCACTCGACCGGGGGGATAGAAGCTCTTTAACAACTGGTTTTGCAGCTTTTCGGAGATGACGCTGTGGACTTGAGTTTGGTCATGGCCTGAAGTGGCATGTGTGGGGCGCTTGGGGCGCTTTGGTCATGGCCACCGCAAGAGCCATGGAGGGGCAACCACGTCCATGGCGGGGTACTTGCTGTTGCCTTCCAGGCCTTGCTAGGCGGTGAGCCGCCGGATTATCTGCACCCCGGCAACCGAAGCTTCTGGTCCCCCAGAATGGCAGGCACCACCAATTATTCAGAAATTTTGGTCCACCACGACCCGATCCTTGGAGCTTAACCCCCCTCAACGCACGATACCTCTCCTTCCCCCGGCGTCACTCCCAGTTGAATCGCACTACCCATCCGAAACCCCAGCGACGTGCGAAAACCTTCAACATGGCTATGAGTATGTGGTACCCTTCCCTGTGAAATTCATTGTTGCATGCAGCTAACATTATGTCTAGACCTTGATATGGCCAATGGTAATGAATGCCACGATCCGAGCTTCGAGACCACATATACTGACGAAATGACACTGTAGCGGCCGTGATGAAGGACGAGCAAGGCCGTCCCTTCATCGTTGTCAGAGAGTAAGCTCGCCCTCTCTTGCCCTACCCCGAACCCCTGATAAGGAGACCCAGGACTGATTGCCCCGCAGCCAAGGAAAGAAGAAGAGACAATATGGCAACGAAGCCGTCAAGAACCACATCCTCGCCGCCAGAACGGTCGCGAACATCGTCAAGACCTCCCTGGGTCCTCGTGGCCTCGATAAGATTCTCATCTCCCCCGATGGAGACATCACAGTGACAAACGACGGCGCCACGATTCTGCAACAGATGGAGATCTCAAACCACGTCGCTAAGCTGTTGGTGGAGCTTTCAAAGTCGCAAGATGACGAGATTGGTGATGGTACAACCGGTGTCGTCGTGCTTGCTGGTGCTCTCCTTGAGCAGGCGGCAGAGCTGATCGATAAGGGAATCCACCCCATCCGCATTGCGGACGGATACGACCAGGCTTGCGACATCGCCGTGTCGGAGCTTGACAAGATTTCAGATGTCATCGAGTTCAGCAAAGAAGAGACAGGAAACCTGCTGAAGGTTGCACGAACAAGTTTGGGCAGCAAGATTGTTTCCAAGGCACACGACCAGTTCTCTCAGATCGCAGTGGACGCTGTCCTCTCCGTTGCCGACCTGGACCGGAGGGACGTTGACTTTGAGTTGATCAAGGTCGACGGCAAGGTCGGAGGAGCTCTGGAGGATACCATGCTCGTCAAGGGCGTCATTATCGACAAGGATTTCTCTCACCCCCAGATGCCTTCCGAAGTCAAGGACGCCAAGATCGCCATTCTTACCTGCGCCTTCGAACCCCCTAAGCCCAAGACTAAGCACAAGCTCGACATCACCAGCGTTGAGGAGTACAAAAAGTTGCAGAGTTACGAACGCGAGAAGTTTATCGAGATGATTCAACAAATCAAGGATGCCGGTGCCAACTTGGCTCTCTGCCAATGGGGTTTCGACGATGAGGCGAACCACCTGCTGCTCCAGAACGACTTGCCTGCCGTACGGTGGGTTGGAGGACCGGAGATCGAGTTGGTGGCTATTGCGACAAACGGCCGTATCGTGCCGCGGTTCGAGGACCTCAAGCCCGAGAAGCTCGGAACTGCAGGTATCGTCAGAGAAATGACCTTTGGCACAACAAGAGAGAAGATGTTGGTCATTGAGGAGTGCGCCAACACCCGCGCGGTTACCGTCTTTGTGCGCGGTAGCAACAAGATGGTGCGTTCCTGACAAAATGTTTGAGATTAACCAAAAGCTAACCCCCAATGTCAGATCATCGACGAGGCGAAGCGCTCCCTCCACGATGCCTTGTGCGTCGTGCGCAACCTTGTCAAGGACAACCGCGTGGTCTACGGTGGTGGTGCTGCCGAGATTGCCTGCTCATTGGCAGTCGAGGACGCCGCCGCCAAGACCCCTGGCCTTGAGCAATACGCCATGCGCGGATTTGCCGAGGCCCTCGACGCTGTCCCGATGGCCCTGGCCGAGAACAGCGGTCTGAACCCCATCGCGACGCTGGCCGACATCAAGAGTCAGCAGGTCAAGGCCGGTCCTGGAGTCCGTGGCAAGCTCGGTGTCGACTGCATGCAGCGCGGCAGCAACGACATGAAGGATGCATTTGTCATCGACCCCCTTATCAGCAAGAAGCAGCAACTCCAGCTCGCGACGCAATTATGCCGTATGGTCCTGAAGGTGAACAACGTCATTGTTGCCGGGTCCGGCGAGGAAGACTTTTAAAAGTTTATAAAACGGTAAAAAAGGTTCTAGATAGGTCTATGGTGTTTGGGATTATACCAAGCTGTGTACTATGCAAATAGAGAGGCCCCCACAATGTCGAGACCATGATTTCTGTCCTCCCACGCAACGAACCGTCTAGTGCTTGCCCTGCCCCTCTTGCCACTTACTGCATCCAGCCTCTCTCGGGGCTGTACTTGAGATACGGCTCCATTTCACGATAGAAGGTTTGGCGGAGCTCGGCCTGTTGCTCAGGCGTCGGGCGGGTGTCCTCGCCCTTACGGCGCTGCCAGCTCTCCTGCGTCTCTTTGAGGAGGGCCTTGGGGTCCTGTCCCGTGGTATCTTCGAATTCGTACGATCTGTACTCGGTGTTTTCCCAGCCAGTTGCTACACTTAGAATTAGTGAACGGCTCCCATCTCACTCAACTCCATGCCATCGGGGTGTCCATAGAAGACATTCAAGAAACAAATAAAGAATCTCGAAAACGAGAAAAACACGTACCCTTCTTGGGAGCAATCCCATACCAATCATCCGTCAAAAAGTGCAAAATGCCACCGTGCGTGACGACCACGACCTGCGCGTCCCCGGACACATCCCCGCCCACGAGCTCCCTCAGCGCCCTCCTCGCCTCGGCAGACCTCGCCTCCAGCTTCTCCAGCGTCGGCTCCCATCTCGAGTCGGGGCCGGCCTTGTCGATCCAGTCCTCGGGCACCCTGCTGAAATCCACGCGGCCGGCGAACTCGGCCTCAATGTCCTTGATGGCTGAGCCGGTGTCGCACGGCGCGTCGGAGACTTCTTGTACCTCGGGCAGGGCGAGGACCTTGAGAGAGGAGCCCGAAGAGCCAGAGGAAGAGGAGTCGGAGCCGAAGCCTAGGAGGCAGGTGTAGAGGGTCCGGCGGAGGGGACTGGCGACGAGGTGGGTGATGCGGTCGTGGTGGGGGAAGGCGGCGCGGAGGTCGGCGCACTGCTGTTTTCCCTTTTCTGTGAGGAGGGGGTCGCGGAGGGCTTCGTTTTCGAGGGAGAGGTTGTGGAAGCCTTGGGCGTGGCGGACGAGGTGGATTTGGACTGGCATTTTGTTTGAGGTTGTGGTTGGTTTTTTGAACTTTTCTTCAGGTATGATGATGACGAGCTTGAGACGAATTGGCGGGGTGGCGGGGCAAGATGCTTGTGTGTATGCTGTTACACAGTGTCTTTGATTCTAGTGAGAAACAGAAAGTGAAAAAAGTAGCATGCAGTCTAATTGAATCTCTAAATTTCACAATGGAAATGGGAAAGACGGGGTTCTCGACAGATGTTCGGATGGTTCACGATCCAATTATATATAAACGAAAGCTCTAGTAAGTTGAGAGGATGAGCTACGTAATGCGTCCCTCCACCCCCCAATTCTCGGGAAAGTTTCCTTGTTTGGCGTGGGTGTGGGCAATCCGGTGGAGGGAACGGGAAAGTCTGTTAAGCCTGTGTCTAGAAATGACTCAGATGAACCGCCTTTACCTTGGGACGGGCGTCGGAACACACCTAAACTAATAAGCAGGCACCCGAGTAGAGAAATCATGACACCGGACGGGTTCCACGTGGGTTGCCATAGGGGCCTTCTACGGTGCCTTGCCTTGTGTTGGGGCGCTTCGCGTTGCTGGTTTCAAGAATGCTTGAAAGCTAAGCTGCTGTGACAGCGGTCCGCAGTCGCACCATTCGGCGCCGATGACCGGGGCGGAAAGTGGAGTCTCACGCCGCGCTGGCGCCGTGCCGTGGTTGGCCGGAGGGGGTTGGACGCGGGCTTTTGTGGCTTCTTTTGCATGATTGGTCCGGCAAGAGGAGCGGGTGGCCGGCTACCTTACCTCGCCTTACCTTACCTACGGTCAAAAGCCGGTGGAATGGATTTCTACTTCTAGATTTGCTCCCCGGCGGAAAGTGTGAGTCAGAAGGAATTATTGACTTTGATGATGCGCTTTAATATCGTTTGAGAAGGCTCGTGACGGGCGAGGATAATTACAGAGTAAGATAGTTAAGAGGGCTACAGTCATAGCCTAGGCACGCAAAGTTGATATGCGGGAAGCCTGTGCTGGAAATGTACATGTTGAAGGGGGATCCTGAACGTGGTATTCACCCGCGTCCGTGTGTTAGTAAGGTAATGCTAGGTGAATCATTCACATAAGCCCTTGCCTGGATGCTCCGACTTCAGTCTTCACATAGGGTCCATTATCAACATCACAGTCACAAGTTGGAGAGTGATCATAATCCAATAAAACTTTCATTTTGTAGCTCATTCTTAAGTCTGAAGATGCTAGTGTCGGGCTCTCCCTGACCCTGAAACGCCGAGAGCTAATGGCCTGCATGCTTCCTGATTACTTTCCTGTCTTTCAAAGATCAATGAGACTCTCCTCCACTGCCGGCTGCTTAGGTGCGTTTTGCGGAGCAGACGGAAATGATTCTTGGGTATATCCGCTGTTGTACTGGCCTTGCCAATGCTGTTGAGGGTGCGCCGATTGCTGCGGTACTGATGGTTGCCAGTAGCTTTGCTGCTGGGGCGGAGCCTGTTGTTGCGTGGGCTGTTCCGGCTGAGCAGGCGTTTGAGTAGGTGTTTGTTGGGGTGGCATGGGCTGTCGGTATTGCACTGGCTGCTGAAGATTCGGGTATGGCGATGGGTTAGGATCCGCGTTCGGCGGAGCAGAAGGAGGTGCGCTAGGCTGCTGAGGGTTGAAGTAATAAGAAGCGTTGGGGTCTGCCGAAGGGGTGCCCGGAGGTTGACCTGGCTGGTTCTGGTGATTTGCTTGAGGCGGTTCGCTTGGAGCATAAGACTGCTGGGGTGCGTATTGGCCGTCAGGTACGGGACCAGCTCCGCTTCTCCAGCTATCCGTTCTTTGAGGCTCTTGGCCAGGATACGGTCCTCCCGGCGGACCAGCCATGGATGCGCGCTTGTCAAAAGTCGCGTACTGAGGTTGTGGAGTGTGCTGCGGGTGTTGTGCGTAGGCCTGAGGTGGCGGTGCGTGGCCGTAGTCCATCTGCTGTGATCCGGTATAGAAATTCTCGGCCAGGCCGGCACCCCCAGGTGCACTGCCTTGCAGCGTAGGGTAAGCGCCAGACTGGCGAGGGGGGAGATTGTATCCTCCCCCAATTGCGTGCTGGCTGTATGCCTTGGACAGGCGCTCTTCTAGCATCCTGTCGTAGTAGCGAACAACGGTGGAAAGTTTGGCATGTAGGTCGAGTAGTGTGTCTAGAGGCTGTGTGAGAAGACAGAGACGGACACCTGGAATTCCAGGGGTACTTACCATGCTTGCTCATAGTCTCCCCGTAAGTACGGGCAAGCTTAGGCCGCAGTGTGCCGATGCTATCGTAAAGTTCTTGGATTTGAGGCTCGCGCAGAATGGTTCCGGGGGGTTGTGTTTGCAGGCGGTCGACGAGAGTTGCAAACAGGTTAATGTTCTCAGCCTCAACCGGTGTTAGCTCGTAATCGTTCTTGGGCAGAGAAAACTGCTGAGTAGGGTTTGGTCCGGGATTCGAGGTGTGCTCCTTCAAGACTGCCGCATGTCTTTGCTTCTGCTCCTCCATATCAGCTAGCGAAGCGGCGATGGCAGCCTTGAGGTCGTCATCTTCCTCATCCGCGCCGGACGATGCTGCAGGCGCAGAGCTGCCGTTGACCTTGGGTCCCGAGGGACCATTGGCCGTAGGCGCAACATAGCCCTGAGAGTAGCCTTTGACCTCCTCCAAGCTCATAGCTAGCGCCTTCTTCAGGTCCTCGTCGAATGCGTCGTCGACGCGGGCGTTGCGTGGTTGCATGGCCGATGTGCTTCGTGTCTTGTAAGGATAGGTGGGAGATCGGTCTTGCGACAGCGGCGAAGGTGGTGCAGCACCTCCCTTGGCCGATCTGTCCATGAGCTTCGCGTAGCAGCCGTCGTCGACGCGGACGGGCTGCATGATGCCGAGGTGGGGGAGGGGTAGCGACTTGGCCGAACATTGTTGATCGAAGCAGTTGCCGCAGTTTCGGCAGTGATGCTTTCGGTTCGTGAAGGTAAAGGCGGTGCGGCATCGCATGCAGACATCTGAATCCACCCACTCGGGGGGCTTTGAGAAGCTAGTCAGTTTGGGCTGGGAAGATTCATAGCCGTGGATGAGAACCTACCGCGCTGCTGTCGATCATGCTGCTGGAGACGCTGATTTTAGGAGGAAATTGATGACCTTCCCTTTGCAATGTCTTGTAGACCTCTCCGATGTATCCCAGTTCAAGGCGTCCTTCGGTGGCGGCGGCCCAAGATTGTATCAGCTCGAGAATCTTCTGCTTGACTTCGTGGTTGACGGCGGCGGGTCCGACAGCTTGAAGGAGGGAAGTCAGGTTGTCCATGAACTCCCTTGAGGCGATTTCGGCGAGGAAGTGGGTGCCTCCATTCTTTACACACGTGTCGGTGAGCTGCGGGCGGACAGAGTCAGTTCAGTCAAGCGTGATCAGGCAGCAACGATGACCTACATTCAGTGCGCTCAGCTGGGTATTAGGGTTCTTGTTGCCGATGCGCCTCTTCAAGGAGCGCATGGCCTCCTTAGGCTGAACGGTCTTTGATCTGATGACATCAGAGATCTCGAGATTCAGGGCGATATCCTCCCTGTGTCAATGTTAGAAGAGCATGACAACGGATGGCAGAGAGTCGTACAAGCTGCTGCCTGTGGCTTTCTCAATTTGCTCGTCCAAGGCCGTGTTGGCCGAGCTGGACCACCAGCCCATCATTTTGAAGGCTGGAAATGTTTTGTCGGGCGGGGAGTTAGAGCAAACAGGCGGCTATCGATCGTCGGGATGGTTTATCTAGCTCGAGAAAGCGGGCGCGCAATCGCGAGGCTGTCGTCGTCTTTGTCGTCGTATGTAAAGCGGGCCAGATGGGTTGCGCGTATGTAGGAGATGTGGATGAAAGGCAAAGAGGAAAGCTTGTGTGTGTTTCTAATGGTTGCCCAGATGCGGCAGCCTCAGGGTCGGGTGTGCGTACACAGTAAGGTAAGGAGGCCTAGTTGGAGATGCAGC